GCACGTCTTGTTCTGGTGTGAATGCTGCCATATACTTGCAACTAGGAACGCTCTAACAAAAAATACTCCAAAAGCCTGTAATTCAGTGAACGTGATCAGTTGTAATTCCATTAGCTGTGGGGACAGTCGTCACAACTAATTTGAAAGACCTAGAAAATGGACGCGGACATCGGAGAGAAGCATTACCAATGGCAATGACATCCTTCGAACGTTACACAGCTGAGTTTGACTACAATGATCACCTGCGTAATGCTACTGCCAGGAAAGCCAACTGAACACGCTGTCTCTGGAGATACACAAGTCCACCAGTTTGTTCGCTTCGATCCAAAATGGCAGTTTCATTTGTGACGGAGATGGTCACCACAAATTTGGTAGAACCCTGAAGGACGTGGCTCTCTGAGCTTCACCATCTTACGGACGTTCCATTGCAGTCGTACCGTTAGGCTCACTACAACATCGATCACCTGCAATATTTCAACCGCTGAGCAATGGTGTAAGCACGCCATCCCGAAAGTACCAGCATGTAAATCTCATGGATCCCAAATGGCCTTTTGCAGGGCCAATATATTTCTACGCCATAGAATTTATTTAAGATCTCTAGATGGTGGGTAAAACAGGTTCACAAAATTGAAATATTTTTTACTCATGGAAAGAAATAATAACAAAGAATCATCAATCAGTGCCAATAGCAGTGTTCGGAAATTCACTATCAGCTTTGGGTCATTGAGTCTCCGTGAGAGAATAAACTTGCGTAAAGCATCCAGAGCTAAACCTTCCCGCAGACGTCAATTGGTAGCACGTTTATGCATTTCGTGTTAGTTCTCCATCCACTGAAGCAAATTCAACAGCAATATCAACAAATACAAAATGTTGAGTTGACAACCTGATCCTAGTGCCAGCGGGGGACTCTGAACAGAGCTGTGCACGATGGTCCCCCGGCGAGACAGGGGGTTGGGGCAGGCTCAACAAGCTGCCCTGGAAAAAAAAACATAAAGTTGCAAATACTGAAGAAAGAAATACGGATCGGAACAATCGGCACAGACCTACGCGACGAAATAAGGACTACGATTGGAAACTCGGAACATGGAACTGCAAATCGCTCGGCTTCCCGAGCTGCGATAGGTTAATCTATGACGAACTTCAACCACGCAACTTCGAAGTCGTAGCACTGCACGAAGTTTGAAGTAGTAGTTTGAAGTAGTCAAGACTATACTGAGGCAAATAGACCTAAGAATTTCATAAGGCTCGACTTATGAACAACATATATGACTTTCATAAGCGTGACTTATGAATGATTTTCGGGTAACATGAGCAGGGCGTCACAATATCAGCTTCAATCGGCCAAATCGATGCGACGAAGAGACTGCTGGCTTTCTTTTTCTGGTAACGTCGAACAGCTTCGCAGCATTCTAGAACCTCAGTAAGCGTGCACAAACAAATGTTCAATCGCTTGTCTCTCTTTCTCCCGTCGCTCCATTGGTCTTCCTTTCAAGCTTCGGTGAAACGGATGAGCGAAAGAGCGCTCGACTTTGATAGTTTTCTCTTTCATGAAACACATCAACAGAGGTTTCATGACGTATATGACGGAAAATGAAATAACACATTTAAAGCATTTCTCACGTGAAAACACTTGAAGATTACACGTAATATTTTTAATTTATCTTCCATCCATATATTTATCTAAAAAATATGATCGAAAACGGAACATAACGCATTTTAAACAAATTAAAAGAGCGGTGATAGAGTGTTCGTGAAAGGGATTGAAGGCCATAATGAGGTTTCGTTTAACTAGAAAATCGACGTTAGTTACATTGAAAGCGATGAGCAAAGCAACGACGAGAAGTTCCACAGCCAGCCTTTCCTTCTAAGGCCGACAACATAGTAGAAGCGATTCGAAGCGATTCGATTCGTTGGCAATAAGCGGAGCGCTTGCGTGAAAGCACCCTCTATGAGCGTTCTATGGGAATCGCCCAAACCAGCCATAGTGAAAGCGATGCGAAGAGGTGTAAAGCGTTCAGCAAAGCGACAGAGCTGTTCGTGTTGTGTTTTGACGCCTTCGAACGCAAGTGGACTGATTCTAGTGAGGAAAAATGGACACCGAAATCGATTCGGAAAATCTGATTGCTCTCGTTTTTACGAGAAAAGCGCTGTGGGACAAAACATTGAAACAGTACCGGAACCGGTTGATGGTCGATAAGCTTTGGCGACAAGTTTCCTGTGAGCTGGGAGGAGAGGCAACAAGTAAGTGTAAATAGTGATTTATTTCATAATTAATATAATGTTTTTATTTACTTTACAGCGGATGCAGTGAAGAAAAGATGGAAAAAATCTCCGGTCCTCGTTTGCGAAAGAGATGAAGAAGATTCCGGAAGGAAGATCTGGTGACGCAGGATCATCGAACTATGGAACATATACATCCTGCTTGAGGAAGCGAAATATTCCTCATCGGATGAATCCATGCTGAATAACAAATTTGAACAAATATTTTGCACTGCGCGCGCGACTGTAATGTTTTCAAAAACGCTTTCACTATGTCATAGGTTGCTTCGCTTGCCGCTGCATTTCGCTTTGCCAATTGCTATCGCATCGAATCGCTTCGAATCGCTTCTACTATGTTGTCGGCCTAAGCGTCCTGCTTTTTTATTTTTGTTTCTTGCTGATAGTCTAGCTAGGCGTTATAGAAATGAAGCGTCGAACACGTATGTATGAGAGAAACAAAACACGAGTTCATTTTAGAGCTTCGAAATTGTAGAGCCCTGAACATGAGGTAGCTCTTATACGCCTTAAACCATTTCATTTTCACAATCGTTGAAAGATGAGTGGTCAACCCACAGGCCCCCTAATCTCAACGTCTATTTTCCGGTTCCAGTCTACTCCGATTTAGTATTTTTTTGTCAACATTATTTTTCATACGGCAAATCAATTTTTCACACTCATTTCTTATGGCTAAAATTCATAAGTGTTTCTTTTGGAATTCTTACGTACTTTTGCCTGCGTGTAGGAATCCACGAAAAGGTAATCTACCCACGTTACGGGGCATCATATCAGATAAACAACTTATAGATTAAATATTGCATATGTTTTGATTATAAGTAGCATATTACATTTACGAAAAAAATGCCCATTACCGGTATTAAATTCTCCATTACCGAAAACCGGTTTTCAAACAAACACCCGGTAAATGACAACCCTACACCTACCTGATTGTAAGGACGTGGCCAGTGCCGTTCCTTTATTATTTGGAATAACTGACAATTTTACAGAGAGAATGCACGAACACACCCAGTCAGTCATTCAATTGATTAATTGTGCAATTTCACTAGTTCGGATCAATCACGGAGTAGCATAACTTTTTTTTAGTTAGCACTTTAGCACTTTTGGGTCATTCGTGACTTGTCCGGTTGTGAGATTTGAACTCGTTACTTTGGCGTGACAGGTATGGATGCTAACCAATACGCCGGGGTCGCCCCTGTAGCAAACAATGACGTGTGCAGTCAATCTAAACTAAGTTAAGCTAAGCTTCTCTCATTCAATTTAAGTGTAATTAAATTATTACGAAATAACAAAAAAAATGCTTTTATGCTAAATAAGCTTTTGCAACCTTGCTCTGAAACTTTCATACATCCTCTATGCTGGCAATGCTTTCTTCACGATTCAAAATTTCTAATTTAGACTAATATAAACATTTTATTACCTTTCCTACATACAATTTGCAAAACTATCTGACAACATCTGTTGCCAACACTGCCCACTTAAGATTAATTTTATTGCAAAAATACACAGTGTTAAAAGATGTCTCCACTCATGATAATAAACATGTATTACCATCAGAGTGAAAGTAAGCCACACCTCCCAGCAACTGCAGTGGTCGAGCTGGGAGACTGCATTACCGCTCTTCTTCTTTTTTTTTAAATTTACATTGCAATTATTTGGGAAGCGTTACTCCTCCTTTCCATTCCAATTTAAAGGTTATGCATAAAATGAGGTCGAATGAAAGTAACATTACGTAACATTCTAGCATGAATCCCAACCGATGCATTCGGTCAACTTTCCCCCCAAATACGTAACCTCTAACCACAGAATAGAAAGCTACATCCTAAATCAAGAAGAATCGTTCATGCACCCCACTAGCTGCCGGCTCTTGCAACCTTCTACATTCGGAAACGAAAGATTCAAACGCACCGACGGCGGCGAAGACGACAACGACGCCGCCACCTGATGCAGTGGTGGCGCCGGCGTCACATTGAAATTACGCTTTCATGGTGCACGCAAATGATCGAAACCGCGGCCCGGCCAAGGTTAGCGCCCGTGGAAAATTGCCGCTCTCGGGTCAATCCATCGAACGGAAGAAAGTTTGCTTTCCTGCTTTGCGGAGCCAAACCGAATCGTGCTTCTCATAGAAGCTAGTTCAGTGGATTAAATCTTCGACGTGACGTCACAGACGTGACGTCGCTCTCGATTGATTGGTTCGCTGTCGCGTGGACCAGCACCAGACACCTAAAAGAGATAAACCCGTATGGAACGCAGTCAACACAAGATTATGTAAACACATAATCGGCTTGACCTGGAATTCGAATACTAGGTATAGGTTGCAGTTGATCGGTTGGTCGCCTGTATGCATCTGTGGTGTGTCGCGAATATGCATCGATATGCATGCAGTGGTCGTGGTGCACGAGGTCCTTACAAATACAGTCAGCTGCTGTCTTGTCCAGAGTGGGGTCCAGTTGAAATATCACTAGCTCTTCTGACTACTTTTATTTCTCAGAACCCGAAGGACAACTGGGTCAATGTTGGGAAATTCCTGTTGTGTTAGTCAACTATGTGTCGTCCGGCGCAAGGATCGTGTGTTATGGTTTACTACCGCACCGTCAATGTCTATTTTGGTATTGGTGCTTGTGCTTAGCTAAATACTAGTTGCAAGTTGTTACATAACATGTGACACCAACTGTTCAGACTTAAATAGTTTTCTGTAACGAATAATAGGGTTGTTGCTTACTCACCTTTCTCTTTGAAGCTGAGGCTGCCTGGCTTCTGGGTTGTTGTTATGGAAATGCACAGCAGTAGAACTAGTAGACGTACCATTTTGTCGCAGTGTATGTGCGTGTGGCTAAATATGTTAACGGTGACTTTTTTTGATTTTTGCGTAACTTTTCTTCTTCGAATACAACTTGATGCTGTTGGCAAAGTTGTCACCCAACCATATGCATCTATTCACTTTTTTAACACAGCACTTTTCACACTTGATTTACGATCAATTTGAACCTTTCGCTTTTAAGCAAGAAGAAAATAAATCAATAATCACTGCGTTGGCCAAGTCTCAGAGTTTCCTTCCACTCGACGTTGGTCTCACTTGGCACAGGAAATACACGCGAATATCGATCGTAATCAAATTAACACGCTAAAAGTTAGATCATCCAATGAAAACCACATAGAAAGGTAACATATACACTTGAAGACCAGTAAACATGCGCTACAGGTCCAAGAGGCCTCGTGTCCGGTTTTCAATGTCGACTGGGAATCCTGCCAGGATTGCAACGTATTCACGGATGTTACACGCTCTTCAGTACGACGCGAACTCTGCAGTCAAATTGAATGTCGTTGCAAAAATTACGCGCGCGCATCCAACTTCTTCTCGCCTAAACCCAGACTACGGGGATCAGAAGAAATCCGACCTGATCAAGCGCCCGAACGAGATGGAGGGACCCACAGAGAGAGAGACAGAGAGCAATCGAAAGAGCACATGCGGGCCACTACTCAGATCTCGAGGCTGGGCGACGCGCGACGCGGGCTGAATGGACGCCTATACGACCACTACTATGATAATTAATATTTTTAGCTCTTGTTTTCTTGTCTTTTTTTTCTGTCTTGGAAGCAGCAGCATTTGGTATTCACAAAGCCACTGTGGGTGCTGATCTTAGTTGACCAGCCGGTACGGTGACGGTTGAAAGTTTAAGAACACGTGTTAAGTGATATTTACGTTAGTTTAACCGGGATGGGGCATCAGCATTTGGGTGGTTCAATTTGAAAAAAAAAATCATTAGAGATACCTCCAAGATTGAAGGTCTAAATTTTAAATTATGATGGGATAATCTTGATATAAAATTATATTGGTCTATATTTTATCTAGTGGAAACGGCTTGAATTTCAAATTATTATTAAGATACGTAAGTAAAGGTGACAATGGACCAAAAAATAAAAAAAAATCGTTCCCTACATTCACATTTTAGCAAGGAAAACAATTTTGACCATGCAACTTTATTCATCAATCATATATTTAGGACTGTAATGGAAATGGATGGTTGAAATTGATGTCTCATTTCACTCAAATACAATAAAAAATAGACCAATGTAAAACCACAAACGAAGTGACAGACGGAGCGGCTCGAAGACTTTGGTGACGAACCTGCTATTGCAATTTTTCAGTGTACCACATGGCAACACTACTACTAGATTGTACTAGCATTTTCACCAAATATACTAGAATGTTTTGGTTCTGTCTCTTTCAGTCTACGCAAAACTGAAATGCAAACAAAAATTATAAAATGATATACTCTTGCACACTGTTACAGATTATTGCACACAAAATCAACTTTGTTCAAATCAAAACAAATATACTAGCCCATCTGGTGGCTGATGGCACAAGCTTCTAAGAAAATTCCAATACAGCGAACCACATTATTTTAATTGATTTCTTCGTCAGTTAGTCGTCTGTCACTTCGTTTGTGGTAAAACCTTATTTGGGGTGACATTCTGCCCCTAATCTTATAGTCGACGTAGCCACCAACAGCATCACTGGTGGGAAAACGCGTTTTTGTTGTATGCAGCCGAAAAGCAATATTTTGTAACAATTTCATTCAAATAATCTGTCCACTTGGTAAAGATTAACGGTCAGAAGTGGACCGCTGGGCTTTTATGATTTATTGCTTAATTATTTCATCTCAAAAACGCATACACCAGGTTATGCGAACAAACATACGTTCTGCTGAAGGTTTATTCGCATAGCTTGGCGTAAAAACCAGGTTACTGTGTTTGAAGTATACTATACTATAGTATCAACATTCACGGTCACGTTGACAGATTTTCTCCGAAGCTCGTTAGATTCAGTGATAGTGAAAAGGAATTCAATTTGGAAGAATTAAAATGTCCGGAAGAGGTGCCCTGGATTTACTGCTGACCTATGGTAGTTCCGACTCGGAAGATGAGTTTGATCCGGATCTGCCGACTGCGATTACCGGAGGAGAAACGTGACTATTGGATAAATTTGCCAGAGACTGAATCAGGTGAAGATGTTTAGAATGGCGGTGTTGATTTAATCGATGTAAACTTGGACTTAAATATATCATATGTTGAACTGAATATAACGTTGTTGTGATTTCATAAATATGAAGAAAAATTTTCAAAGAAAATAATTTGCAAATCGTTCAATACTTCAGAACAGGTCAATACAAAAATTATCATATTTGAAGAGTGAAAGCGCCTCGAACGCTATAAGAAAAGGTTCAGTACGTTAAACGGCTTGATGGCGTGTTTGACGAACCACGTACAAAGCTAGTGTGTATGCTGAATATTGAGAATGCAAAAGCGTGTAAAAGCAGCTTGAATGATATGGGTTCAAGTGTACATGTGACAAATAGCAGGATTTTTATATTTGAAATATTGCAACCTGTATGGAGGGACGTCATTTTTGCATTGAAACGGCACTTACGCCAAATCGTTTTCTCAATATTACTCACATGTTTCTGAACAAAAAAAATGAGTTTGCATGTGGAGTTTGTGTATTATATGGTTAAGAATGCGTAGAAACAAAAAAGTGGATTTTGGTCATTGTGGCTCCTACGTCAACTATGCAAACATGGGCAGCATTGGAGTAAACATGAATTTGATTAAAATATCTTTAAATATGTAAATGTAACGTAGCTATTAGTAGTACACTAGATTATGATCACAATGGCTAAAGATCGCGTGTAACCCTCGTCTAAAGTGTGTTCAAACTTTTGTTTGCCTGTGGACATTTTTAAAAACTTGTTTTTGCTGTTTCTGCACAGATAAAAATTCTGAATTTCAATTGTGATGTAAACATTCATTCACGTAGACTTGTATTTCATTTCACGCAACCGAGCAGCTTGCAAACAATGTTGTTTACAAAGATGGGCTTTTGTATACAATATTTGCTACATTGCATGAAATGTGTCAGAATTTTACATGATATATAATGTAAACGTATATGATATGTGACGCTCCATTTATGTGCATCATATTGAATAGAAATTTACACTACTTTTTCGAACTATGTGTATGGCACTTCCCAACAAATAATTTAGAGTCACAAATAAGCATATATCAGTGTACAATGCAGAACAAGTTGTCGAATTATGTGATGAAAAAACCTCATTGAGATTTATAGATCCACATTTATTCCACTGTTTGCTCTGATCTGATTAATTAACTTATTAAAAGCTGTAAAAGTGTTAAATGTCCTTCCAATTCAACGCCAGAAGTTTGATCTAATAACAAACTGAATAAGTGTAATTTGCACATACATTGACGCTTCAATTCGACTGTTTTCAATTGGTCTCATGTAAAACAACGATGAATGAATTAATCATTCCCACAGGGCCTTTAATTAGCTAGAGTTGCGATCGGGAGTGCGAAACGAAAATCAATTATTTTATCCATGTGTTTCACTTATACATTTTCGCCAAAACATCAGCCTTATCATTCCATAAGACAAACCACATAGGTCCTATAATAATGCATAAAAGGTATGTGTGACCAGGGATGGAAAATCATGTACATGCATTTCGTGCATTCATTTACATTCATTTGCCTCTAACTTGTATCATCAACAGAATACCGTAAGATGATGTATGAAGCATTTGTAGCTTTTGATGTTAACTACAACTTTTGTTAATATCTAAAATCTGAATCTCCTATGCATGACGAAATAGAGCTGGCAGAACATGTTATTGTTTTTCCGTGAATGCAATTTACATTCACTGAAAAACAATGGTGGGTTCTTATCGCTCTGATTCATCATGCATAAGAGATACAGATTTTAATTGTTTGCAAAAGATGTAGCTAATATCAAACCCTACAAAAGCTTCAAACATTATTTTACGTAATTCTGTTGATGAAAAAAGTTAGAGGCAAATGAATGTAAATGAATGCATGAAATGAATGTAAATGATTTTCCATCCCTGTGTGTGACCGCTTGTACATTTCATTTGACACATGATCTTCATAAACTTTTTGCAAGGCGTCTGCTTATTAGTTGACTTATACGTTTTATGAATAATCAGCAATAGAAATTTGCCAAAATGTATAAGGAGATTTCTATCCGTGTAGGTATTCACTTTCAAGCAAGCTTTTATTGATTATTGAGCTGCCCATATGATGAATTCTAGGATAGCTCAGATGACAAGACAAGCTCTTGGTGATCGGAAGGTCCATGGTTCGAATCCCATTCAACGACATGTATATTAGACTGCCAATGAATGTATGGGAAAAATTTGACCATCAAATTTCGCTAACAAACCATATACAAAATGTTTATTGCCTCGAAAAATGACCCTATGCAAAATTTGAGCTCAATCGGACATGATTAAGGGGTGGCGCAAACGCGTCAAAGTTTGACTTTTTTCACTCTCGAAAATCTCCCATGAAATTTCGGAAATCGAAATATTTTTTAAATGCCAAATGTCTTAAAAATGCATGAAACGTCAAGATTTGGTGTTATCTCGAAAAAAATTTTTTTTTTCGAAAATCGACTTTCTGGCAATGGGGATTACTAAGCTTCCCCTCTCTGATAAACCACTGCATGAGAGAACCAAAGATCTAGTCTAGCAGTGATAGTATCACACTTGTTACTCCTTTAATTGAGAGCCGCGTCGTAGTACGCTTACGTATAGGCACTGACGTTGGGTGTGATACTGGCGGGTTTTGCCGCAAATCGCTCTTATTTTATTTATTTTTACGCAGATAGATTTATTTGGGTTTGCAAGGGAATTATACTATTGAAATATTTCAGAAAGTGCCCAACGGTGCTCCTTCTATTTGCGTGACAAGCTTTCATTGTTGTTTTCATTGAAGTATTACTCAGGAAACAATGTTAAACATCATTTTTGTACATGGTATTGTAGCTAATCTTATATGTGCTTCATTTTGATTTGGGATAAGTGTTTGAACTATGGCTCGAGATTTCCACTGTGGTGTGCTTCTATTGTGACATACCCATATGTATTTTTGTGGTGCGACATAGTGGAAACGTG